TATACAATAGCAGTTCGAAATATAAAAGAGGTTTTGCCATCCCTTTCTGCACACATTCATGAAAAACATTAGGAATTCCTTGTTTGTTATTAATCATGTATTTCATCAACCTTCCCCAGCCAACCAATAGCTTCTACTATATTACGTGCTGGAAAGCTCCTCCTAGCGTGTTCTTGAGCTTTCTCTCGTTGAGCCCGTGTGCTTCTTCTCTTTTGTGGAGATCAACATAGTGTCACTAACCGGATCCATACCGAAAAACCGGACTTTACCCTATTTGCTGGTGCATTTAACGCATTGATTTTTAGCTGGACTTCCCTAGTTGTTGCCGCCATAGTATATTGCCCAAGTTTTTATTAGCCAATGGTTGGACTGCCAAAGCCATGTTTTACAGTCAGCGTGAAGTGTGGGCAGGTGCTACTGTGATAGGTGCACCAGTCGTCATGCAAGATCAGCAGCAGGCGATGCCCCTTTAATGAGTCTGGTGCTTGTAAAAAAAAAAAAAAAAGAGAGAATGGGATAGTAGGAAAGGAAAAAGGAGGACGTTGATGTATTACTGGAAAATTTTCATGAACTTTTATGTGTTTTGTGTGTGTTGCTGCTTTGAAGCGCTACAAAGAAGCTAAAGTTGGCATCATGCCAACTTCCAGGCTGGACTTTCAGTGCAAATTACACAGGTGTCTTTTTGAATATTCAAATTCTACTAATGTTTTTCCACATCTGGACTGTCAAATGGACTATACCTTACTTTGCATGTTCATAAATTATTCATACATAGTAGATGAATATTCAAAAGGCATTAATTTATTAGATCTTTATTGGATACGAACTGTATCAGGCAAGTTTTAAGTATTGACCATCAAGAAGAGACTTTTGATTATTGATATCGTGTCTGTGTTAAAGCGAAGTGACAACTTCACCACAGCACTCACACAAACACAGGTATGCATTGTTGGTTGTACAACATGCAAGGGACTATCCCATTTCTCAGTTGAGGTAGAAGTTGAAAAGTAACCAGGACTTTGTTCTATGCACTGAGATGTCTTTCTACCTCCAGCCATAATGGTATGTTCAATATTTCTAAAAAGAAAACAGGAATGCACTGAATTCAGTGTGAATATCATTCATGAATGCGGCTTAAGTCATATTCAAACAAACCATCAAACAAAGCTTTTTATTTTTTTCAAAAGCACCTACACGAGTGTTCCATAAAAGCTTTTTTTAAATACACCTATAGAAGTATTTCATTAAGTTGAAGCTACTCTAATCAGTACATTAACATTCAAACATGTTTAAAATACAGAAAATAATAGTCTTTGGTTGGTTAGATAATATTGCAGTCCCTAATGTGATAATGCACCTTGTTCATTTATGCAATAACTACTTGTGACTTCCAAATTACCTGAACCATTGCTGCTATAAAAAATTTGTTTAATTCAGTAATTTATATCAAATCCGCTGTTGTATCATTGTTATTAGGATGTGCATTTAAAAGTAAATGCAAATGATAATTAAAGCTATGATTATTTTCAGAACTGACCAAATTATGTGACTAAAAAGTGCACTAACATCCATTTTGAAACAAGTCTATAAAGGGCAATGATCTCTGTGAAAACAACCTTCTAACTAAGACCGCACTTTAGCCACTTAAGCTTGAAATGTTTCATTGATGGTGTTCATATTGACTTGATTGCATTAGATTGTCTGATAATCATCACTGATCACCACTAATTAGTTTGAAACGCTTGTGAGTATGAGAAGAAATCATGACCTTTGCTGCCCCAGTTATCCATAGTGCTATAACCCTATGATGGACATGTGGTCACCATGACTACAAAACAAAGCATGACCATTTAAATTGTTAAAAAAACTTAAACTAGAACTTACTTGTTAAGAATTTGCCTGTTTATATTAAATAATGTGAATATGATAGTAGTATTCTTACAAATCTTAAGTTTTAACATCTGAACATTTTTCTCTAATATAAAAAACAACTTTTAAAACAGGTTGTAGTACTAATTTGTGGCAACACCAAGTCATGATTTCATAGTAAAGCGTGCATCTTGCACTTGTCTTGTGTAATTAAGAGAAGTTACTAATAACTGTTATTACCCAGCAGACCACCACGACAAGACTATCAACGGATCAAGAGGAGTAGACACAGCTATGACAGGCGAGATGGTTAGTTCTACTGTTCTTCTTTTAAATCTGTTACTTATAGAATTACAGTGTATATGTGTTAATTCAAGTATTCAAGTATAAAGTACAACACCTCTAATTCTAGGACAAGGAAAATTCCTGTTTCAGAATCAAAAACAGGGTTGGAACATTAAAGTGTTGTTGCAGGATAGACGATAATTTAAATCTGTTGTCTGTGCGGACCAAAAATTTGTTTTACACTTCCATTTTGTGCTTCAAAATAATTAATCCAGGTAAATAACAATAACTACAGTATATACAGTACATGATATTCAGTACATAATGCAAGAGTTAAATAGCATGGTGGTTAAGATAAGATATGTTTAATTCCAGGATGTTTTCTATGAGTTAAAATCTGATTCCCTACTCCTCATAATGAGGTCCATGTAGAGGATCTTGTGTTTACTTGTGTAAATTGCCTCTGTGAAAAGTTTGCTGGTTGGCATCTGGGTACTAGTTTTGTGTGCTAAATAAGTAGTGCATGACAGGTGTACTCCCCAGGGAGCAGAGGAGGTTGCACTTCGCGCTAGTTTGCCATATTATGTTATTCAGTGACTAGAGGTAATAACGCTCAGCACCTTTGATCATTCGTTTTAATTGGTGCTATATAAATTTTTGGTTGTTACTATTGTTATTGAGCCAAAAGTTGATGAAATTCAATGAAGTATTAATGTATTTAGAGAATTTGCTGCGAAGAACAAAGATGAGAATATACTAAAATGGTTGAAACAATGATTTTGAGTTGGTGAGTCAGAATAGGTATGATTTTGTGGACTTGTATATGCTAATTGTCTGCATGTGGGGAGTTGAGAGAAATGTATATCAAGATAAATGTACTTGTCTTATAGAAGTACACAACATATGTAAACAACAAACAGATAAGCTACAGTCTACTTCACCCCTATAGCTTTTCTGTTATTTTTAATTATGTTACATATATCTCTGACTTGGTAAATGGCATAAATTTATCACATATTACATGAAACATAAGAAACGGAAAAGCTACAGGGGACAGTTGTCTGATTGTCTACTGAAACATAATATAACATGCACTCTATCATGTTTCAGAAAAAAAGTGTATTTAGGCACATATACTATTGGCTGTGTATTTCACATCACCTACATTTAGTTACCCTTAGGGGGTTTTGTCTCTCATTAATATCCGTCATAAAACTTTGTTTGGATTAGGCTAGTGCAATAGCCTTCAAGAATTAACCCTACTAATTCTTTGATTTGTTCATTTTTCTTCCAGACTACGACAGACCCAAGAGAAGGTAAAATAAATCAATTTATTTCTGGCGTTCTTCTTGCTTCATTTGAAGTCGTTCTACATTTTGTTGATTCAGAACTCAACATGGATTAAATATGTAGAGTAGTGATCTGCGACTGGATTTATCAAACTTGCTTAGAAATAAAATAATCCTAAAAAAGTCGGATTTATCAATCATTTCTAGAAAAAAATATTTTGCTTAAAATTTAATATATCCTAATTTTAAGATAATAAAAATACTTCGCTTAAGATGAAAGTTCTCATGTTATCTCGTACTCATGGTACTCGCAAACATGGTAGGCCCAAAACACAATACACACAGGTTGATCGCACAGTACTTGGTAACACACAGAAAAATTTTAGCAAATTAACAGGCCTTTTTTTAGATAATGTTTAAAATAATACATTACCAACAACAAATATTTTAAAATTAATTATTCTTCACAAACATTTTTCATTATTTTTAATGTTTTTTCGTGAACTAGGCCATCTAAATTACTTTTTTGCATCTGTTGATGGATAACTGTCTAAAGTGATTTTCAAGCGTAGACAATGCAGAGATGTCTGCAATAATAAGCTCTAATGTAGTTCCTGTAAGTGTCTCACATAGCCCATCTTTTTTTTTTTTAAGTAAACAATTTTTTTAAGCTGAGATTGATAAACCCCAACCTAGATCTACCTTTTGATATATCTTGCCAGCAAAACAGTCGATGACTAATGGTTTTTTAATTTGTTAAATTGTATGCAAGTTATGCTTATCCATTCAAGAAATAACAACAGCCCCCTCTATTGATGTGTCAAAACCATTTAAATAATAGATGTTAATTATGTAAATTAATTGATGCTGATAAAAAGACCATCATTAAAACAAATCACGTTTAATAATGGTAATTTATTTATACTCCACCAAATTTTGTTTAGATTATTCATGGCACATCACCACCACCACTAGCTGCTCTTACAAACCATCATTCTTGATTATTTATTCCAAGGGCAATCAAATACCCCACTGCTCATTGTTGAATAGTTTTTTTTTAATAATAGTGTACAATACATAATTTTAATCTTTTAACATGACTTTTTGTATATGGAATTTTATAAAATGTTTTTATAATTTTTTTTTTCTTACTGATCTACTTTTAATTTCAGTATTTGGATGAATGAAGTTTTGCCTTGATTGTGATCATGTAATATCAATACCCAATATTAGTTTTTTCCATACCCCTTCCTTTCCTGCTCATTGTTCATCCAATTTGTTTTATAATAGTGTACATAATTTATATCTTTTTAAGTGAATTTCTGTATATATAGAAATTTATAAAATGGTTTTATGAATATTTTTTTTAGTTATCTACTTTTAATTTCCATATTTGGATGAATAAAGTTTTACCAAGATATTTGTAAATATCAGTAACCAATATTTTTTTTTTTTCAGACCACCTCCTTATAATGACGGACATCGTGACATGATGCCTAGTGGATCCGTAAGTTGGCAGTTGCATGTATTAGTTTGGGTGGTTACAGTACCAATTATGGAATAGTTATCTCTTCGGTATACTCATTTACCGACCTTAGTTCAGTGTGTCCCAGAAAATAACAGTGATAGATGTGGTGTTCATGTGTCACTGATGTTAATGGTATCGGTAATGTTGGTGATTGCAGTGACATTGATGGTACTGGTACTGATGGATATGGCAGTGATGTAGATGGTACTAGTGCTGTTGGTGATGACACTGGCAGTGAGGTTGAAGGTACTTGTACTGATGGAGATGGCAGTAATGTTGATGGTACTGGTACTGTTGGTGATGGTACTCGTACTTTTTATGAATGGCAGTAATGTTGATGGTACTGGTACTGATGGTGATTGGGTGATGTAGATGGAGATGTACTGATGGAGATGGCAGTGATGTTAATGGTACTGGTACTGTTGGTGATGGTACTGGTACTTTTATAAATGGCAGTGATGTTGATGGTACTGGTACTGTTGGTGATGGCAGTAATGTAGATGGAGATGTACTGATGGAGATGGCAGTGATGTTGATGGTACCGGTACTGTTGGTGATGGTACTGGTACTTTTATAAATGTCAGTGATGTTGATGGTACTGGTACTGTTGGTGATGGCAGTGATGTAGATGGAGATGTACTGATGGAGATGGCAGTGATATTGATGGTACTAGTACTGTTGGTGATGGTACTGGTACTTTTATAAATGGCAGTGATGTTGATGGTACTGGTACTGTTGGTGATGGCAGTAATGTAGATGTTGATGTACTGATGGAGATGGCAGTGATGTTGATGGTACTGGTACTGTTGGTGATGGTACTGGTACTGTTGGTGATGGTACTGGTACTTTTATAAATGGCAGTGATGTTGATGGTACTGGTACTGATGGAGATGGCAGTGATATTGCTGGTGGTGTTTGTGATATCAGCGATATTGATGGTACTGCAGAGGCAGTATCAATAACGGCATTGTTGATGGCAGTTGATTTAGATGGTGGTGATGGTGATGTCGAGATTTGTGCACCTACTATCATAAAAACTTTATTACATAGTTATCTGTAAACAGATTTCAAGAACCTCTTTTGCAATTGTTAAAAAAATAATATTGATTTTTGAATCAACAAACATCCATTTAGCAATTTTTGTTTCAAAAATCAATATTAATATTTGAAACTACAAACATGACCTTGTACTTGCAATTGTAAGAAACGGAAGAAGGTACTTATCTCAACCTCAGTAAAGGTCGGCTATTAAACTTAAAATATCCGCATTCCTACAAAATATCATCCATCATTAATGCATACCCATGCTGTGTAAATTTATAATTAGATTGGGAGATTACATAAGTATTTGGCTAGTGCAATAAAGAGTGCAATGTGCAAGAATTAGTCTCACCAGCACCTTTTATAAACACCTGCTCAATTATGTTCATGGGATTACATCAAAATATAGAGAAATCATTGAATACATTATTTCAGCATATTAGGTGTACGTTAAAAAGATATACACTCACGCAACATACGCCTAATATGTTTCTTTATTGGATCCAGGTGAATTTTTTTCAATGAATATTTCAGCGGTTTCTAGTATGCTTAATTATTCTTTCTTCATTTAGTCTTACTCGGATTATCTGCGGGATTACCACCAAGCAAGACACCCCCTACCAATGTCTTTGTCTCCATATGGACCCCCTGGTCACCCACATCATGTAAGTTTAATGATTGAACTGTTTTCCTGATAATACCGATAAAGCCAAAAAAATGTAAATTAATCTCAGAAATTTTGAAATCAAGAGTTGTTTATCAGGATTTTTATTTTTTAAGACCTTTGACTCACCCATTTAGGCAAAAATATAATCTAAGTTTTCTAGAAGATTTGTAATTCTAATTTTGAGCAACTACAAACATAGTTTCTAGCCTTATCACAGTTATCTTCTAATTACTTTTTAATATTTATATATTCATAATATATTTTTTCCTGGTTTCTTTATATTTATTTATATTCATTAAAGGCAAGACAAACTCCGAGAAGAGCAGTAAATGTGATCTTAATTCAATTCTGTATTTGAAACTTTATATTTAATATTTAATACATTTGTGCATAATATGACTGATTTATTACTGTGTATTACTGTTTTATTGAGTTCAACCAATCAAATTACAATATGCATTTCTCAGAAGTAGATATAGATCAAAAGAGACCTACTGCAAGTGAAACAATGATAATTGCTTTAAAGCACTGCATTGTTTAAAGCAGTAGCATGTATTCTAAATGCATTGTTAGCTTCTTGGAACAAAGAGCTGTAAATCTTGTTAGTAATGTTGTTAATGTGATTCCAATTATTACATAATAGACCGAATTAGTCACCAACACAAAGCGGTTATAGTGCGTATAACATCAAAACCAACCGGTAGCTGGCAGTTTTTTCACACAATAATAAGCCTCCACTTAAATAAATTTTGACAGTTTAAAACTCCTCAAAATTATTTATTTGTACATTTTATCATAAAATAACTTATCGAAAAGCCTTGGTAAATATTTCTTTAATCAACGTCAGAATTTGGACCTGTTAGATTTGAAATGGAGAGATATAAACAGATGGAAAACTTGAACATGTTTGCATAGCCTCATCGCATGAACATGGGCCTAACCCTAGACTAGAGTAGTCATACAAACAGCATTCTTCTGGCTCATTAGCCATCGTAGTCAGTAGAAATATCTTATTCTACAATTCAGCAATTTAAGTTTGTCTAATAGTTTAAATATTTCATACACAAACAGTATTCCAATCTTAATGTGTACTTCTAAATCAACAGAGATCGCCTAGTCAGCACTGGATGTAGCGAGTCCTGCGAGTAATTGGCCTAGGCCCCCTAGAAGGCCTCTCAAAACACTTCATATTTTTAGTCTGAATGGAAATGTAAATCAAATCAACCTTAGATTCATGAATCTATGAATCATTCAAAATGTATACGTTGTTATAAAAAGTATCTTCTATGCTATCTTCATTACATTTTAGACGATTTTAATAAACACCACTCTTGACAAAATCATACCCTCTTGGCTGAAATATGATGACGTCATCTTTGGGGACATAATTCGGTCTATTAACAATATTGTGCTTTTCAACTAATTCCAGTTCAGTATTATATACTGTACTGTATATTAAAAATGTAGATGCTTCATACGCTTGCTATGTGGAGTAAAGAATGGATTTATGGATTGAATCAGAACCTTAAGTTTGGAAGTTAATCACTCTAAATTCTATCTAAAGTCATGTTTGCATTTGGATTCATTTTGACCAACACGAAGGATAAATTTACATTCGTTAAATCACACTGCTGTTGACACTTAGATTTAAATTATTCAGTTGGTTTATAGTCAGCAAGATTTTGCGCATACATGGTCGGTCAGTATATAAGAGATGCATTCTGTGGAAAATACAGCGATGTGCATGGTATCATCTGAGTCGCGCTATTTGCATTGAACTTTTTTGCTCAGGAAAAACAGCCTTTTTAGGCGATACTCTTTTATAATACCTTGTTTCACAAACTTCTTTTTTAAAGATCATTAGAGGAGGTGGGGGGTGAATGAAAATAAAATTTTGTTTTCTTATTTAACAAATAGTTTTGCCAAAAACATCCAGACGAAGGAGAAAATAAAAATGAAATGTTATTGCTGAATGTACAATATAGTAGTAATGGGTTGCTTTAAATTTATACTGTAATTAAAAAAAAAAACATATATCTTATTTTTGGAGATTTCAAGCAGTGACGGACGTAATAAAAACAAAGAAAAACTTATCTTTTTCTGAAATTTCTATTTTTTTTGTGGCGGCAGGTGCAATAATTGACTGAAAATAAAATTTATTTTTATTCCAAATCAGCATTATTGGCAGGTGGTGGGTTTGCTGAACAATGTATAAAAAAGTCTTCGTCTTCCTGCTCAGCGTTCACTCGGTTAAACTCTCCATGCTTCTTGGATATTTCAACCATGGAGAAGGTTACGTAGGTTGTTCACACTGGATTTTTTAGGTCAAACTACAAAGTTGAATGTGAACAAGGCTTAAGCTACTCCTTTCCTGCTTGTAAAAAAATTATCAATATATTTTTTCAAACTAATTTTTTCTTCTCTAGAATTCCTATCCAGGGCCAATGGGGCCGCCGCCACCTCACTTCACACAGATGGACAGATCGCTCCATTCTTTACCCATGAGAGATCGGATGCGCGACTACCCACCACCCCCACCACCCATGTCACGCCGTGATCGGGACCGTGACCGTCATCGCGATCGTGACAGGGATCGTGGCCGCCGGGAGCACAGACGAGATAAAGATCGTCGATCGGTAGGTTCTAAATTAGGCTCATGTTTTTCTGTTCATTACAGTAATCACAAAATTAATGTAAAAATTTGAAGCCAATTTCAATTTCACTATATAATATATTTAATGTTTTGATCATTCATATCTACAGGGCTATAATTCTAGGACACATTCATCTGCTGTTGATGACTTTATAAGACTCAATCACCAGAGTATGCGAAGCCGACGGAGTCGCAGCCCGCTGTCGCCACCACGCAGCAGAGGTCATCGCAGGCGATAATTTCCTCTAGTTTATCAGTTGTATATTACTTACAACTCCAAAAATATTGTTTTTGTATTTTATTTTTATTCTAGTTGTAGTGATGTTGTATGTAGTGTAGTAATAGTGTATTATAGTTTAGCTTTATTTAATTCTGACACACCCAGGTTTTTTTTATACCATATTTGGACTAAATTACTTACTGCCCTTATTACCATGAGCAGTGAGATTTTGGTTGGAAATTGTCATGTTTAATATGTCAAACATGTATTACAATATGTTTGGTTGGTTTACTGATTTACTGAAGAGCAGAGCATATGTTTTGCTAATTGTTTGCATAACAGTATTTTATTGATTTTAAGATGTCGTCTGTAAACCTAACGAGAATTGAAGAAGTTGCGATAAAATGTTTATTTTAAATTACTGATAGTGAAATTGATCTCCAGGGCCTGTTGTTTAATGAGCAGCGAAATTACATACAGTCCCTAGCTCCAGAACATCACTGTATAGTAATTTTGTTCATGAATTCAAATTTTTATATTTTTAACATTACACTTCCTAAGAGGAATTTCAGACGTTATGATAACTGTACTGTTAATGAGGTTGGAATTGTCATAGGTGTCAGGGTCGCATCTTGAATAAAATAGATTTTCATCTTTTAAATAAGTCAATTTTAGAGCATTAGCTAAGCCGCTTAAAGTGAAAGTTTAATTGTTTTAAACAAGGTAATTGAGTGTTTAGGGTTGTCATTTTGCCGCAGCTCATGTTTCACTCAGTGTCGACTATGAATGGTGGTTTTTTTTTCTTTTGAATTCACAATAAATTGTGGGTAAGAGAGTTGTGTGTTGATTGTACTGTTTGCTGTTATCTAGCCTTGCTGTAATTACAGCACTAAAACCAAATTTACACTAGACACGGTACAGATGTGCGCAGTGTTGAAGAATACAAACTACGCGATGATATGTCGTTGCTTCGTAATCTTGTCTAATGTAAATGTGGCTTAAAGGTTAAAAATAAGGTAAAGGTGGGAGAATAATTTATAACTCGCAGCCTCATTGTACTAAATTGCGTATGGTCGTGGTCTGTGACTGCCTAACCGCCTTAAAGAGGCACTTATAATAGCTTCACATTCACATCGTTTCTCAACGACAGGGGCTGAAATAAACCATAGGATCGGGTAACCCACTGCTCTTCTGAAAGATGCACTTCTTTAATGTGGCACATGAGCTAGGTGCGTACACTGGACCTCCATTTAAAGTCCTTATCCGAGAAGACTTTTCTACCAACTGAACCCTGGGTGAAAAGTGGCTCCAACCAACGCCGTTGTTAAAGCTGTAGTTAGTGGCAGCCCTACCTTACTACTCGGCCACTCGATTCTCCATACTCACAGTGTATACAATACCATTTTCTCTTTGTATATTACCATTAGTGCATGTTTTTTGTTTAAATCACCTCCAGGATTCAAACTGCAATGGTTCAATCAAAAGTCAACAGGAAATCAGCTTGGTTTTCTGCATTCCTGCAAGCAAGAAAAGATTTCCTGGAAAGGTATTTCCTGCAAATTCGAATCTTTTGCAGTTTTTAGTACTGTATGGTTGTAGCAGTACCATATCATTGTGAAAAGAAATGAAACATTTTTTTAGTAAATAAACATAAAATATTTATAAAAACAAAATTAAAATAATAAAGTACACAAAAACTATTCACACTTTGTTTTTATAAGCACGCGATAAGAAATAGGTAATAAGGCAAAAGCCTTCAGGTTGTTGAAGTTCGCCCTATAACTTGAAGATGATGATGCAGCACTTGCTAAATCTTACTGAAAACACAACGCGACAAAATGCACGCAACGGATCATTTTTAATGGTCATCCACTCAGACTGCCACCGAGAATCAGTAGACGTCGCGTCGAGCGCTCACAGAGAACGGAAATGGTCCATCATTGCCCAACAGATGGACCAGCGTCCACACATTTTTAATGTCCATTTTGTCAGTCAAAACAGGACAAATTGGTTAGCTTATTTTTCTCTATGTGTAATATTTTAGGCCATGCGTCCAGATCCATGTAATTTTTTATTGTCCAAATTTCTACTGCGTTTTTCGTCAGATCTCCTCAGAAATCAGTATCAATTCCTCAGAAATCAGTATCAATTAAAATGGACAACTAAACCGTTTCACACCGAACCTCCAACAGGGCTTTTCTCCAGAATCTAAGGGCTATTGGCAGCCACTTGGACCCCAGCCTTTGTGGTCAATTCAGGTTGCAAAAATATGCAATCTCTGCCAGTGTTGGTACCCTAAATACCAGGATTTGTTAAACATTATTGATATTATGCACATTTTTTATCATATGGTCCACATGTATCAAAACAGCTTAAAGTGGCCAAAAATTATCCAAATTCTGTAGCCACCTGGAGATTAAACCCTGCTTGACTCTGCTGGGAACGGTTATCAGAAAAATTGTGTCGCCACCATTTGCAAATAATAACACGCACACCCACACAACACATGCTGTCATCCTCGGAGAATAAAGCATTTGGATTAGTTTGAATGTATGGATGAATTACTGTATAGTGTGATTTGATTGTGTGATTAATGGAATATGTATCACACACCTATATGCACAAATCACCCTTGGGTATTGTTGATAATAAAGGCGGTGTTACAATTGCAACTCAAATCATCATTAGATATACCTTGGGCAGCAGTTGTAAATACGTTGTTTTTTTTTTATCTTCGTTTTATGCCTGATTTTACCATCATTATTGATGAGAAATATATAGCCACAATATTTATTTTAAATCATGAAATAAAATATTGCTTCAAGTTTTCCATGGCAGATAAACAATAGTATAAAATCTTGCGGTACACCACATGGATAGTTCTGAAGAAAAGTGATGTGTTGAGAGAATCTCGATGTTTCTAAAAGATTGCATAAATACAAGTCAGTGGTTGAAGTACAGTATAAATGAAGCAACGTAACATTATAAGGTGATGTGTTTTATTATCAAAACCCTTATTCCAAAGGTTAACAAACTCACAACAAAAAGACTAATTCTGCTTCTTTGTACCAATGATATTGTAGTGTATATATATATATATAATTTATATAAATACATATTTTTATGTAAAATATAGGTTAAAATAAGTAAATATATAATTTTATTTTATAGAATGAGAACTATTTTAATTATTATTTTTATGAAATGAAATGAAAAAAAATACTATAACCTAAACTATATTTGGTAGAATCTGTAACTCAAATCTAATTTATATATAGATACTCTCAATTGATATGGAGATTGGAATAATTCAATAAATTAATTATTATTAACAGGCAACTTAATGATAGATATGCAAATGATATAGAATTGATATGCAAGAGCCATGGCTACAGCGTTTCCTTGACTGATGGGCCGCACACACATCTGCGCACCATGGTTGGAGCTGAGGCAAAAACTAAAATAAGGTTATGTCACCAATAGATGCCTGAAAATGGTACTTTCATATGTGCTGTCTCTGGCTTAGAAAACATTTTTTTATTACGTTTTCTCCAATAGATCTTACCACAAAGGTAGAGCCCGGCCTAGCTGACACACTCTTTTCAACCCTGTTGATATGTTAAATGGCAAGGAAAGATATATTCCTAAATTTAAAAGCTAATAAACATATCATACATATAAATGATATATTTAATAAAATTTATGTTGTCTAGACATTCAAAATTATATAATGTATGAGCTAAATATAATGTAACATTGAAAATCAATTCCATATAGACAACACACTGATAATAGATCTACAAACATATAAATGAAAATGTTTAGTATGTCTTTAGCAATCAAAATTATATATGAGTTGAATATTTAAATATAATACAATACAGTCACAATACACTGTGATAATAGATTTATAATTCTAATTTATCGTAATAAAAATAATTATGCGATTGAAGCATTGAAAATAACTAATAACATTTTAAAAATCTAAAGTTATTACAAATGAAACTTTTAAAACAAATAAAATATATGGCAATGATTAACAGAATGCAATAGTAATTACCAGTTCTCAAAATACAGTACAGGTCTCTCTCCAATTAAAGACAACTTTTGGGACCAGGCTTTTAGTAGTTTTTAGCAGCTTTGGTCGCTAATGAGAATCCCTTCATTTAAAGACTGGCTCTAAAAGGTCTTTATATTTCTCTGTTTACAGGAAAATAATGAAATGATAGTAATTGTTTTATTCCAAGAATAGATGTACAGTTACTGTATGCCGTTACTGATTCTTAGTATACCATTTCCCGGTAGTGACAAACGAAGACCTGTGTTCGTTCTACCCAAATCACCATTACAATAACTACTGCCAACACTGTCACAAATTATTACAGGAAAAAAAATTACATTAACATCTATTTATTTTATAGTGGTCTTTAATTGAAGTTTAAATGTTTAGTTGGGTACACAAAAACCATGGTCTTTGGTTTCCAGAGAGAATCTTTAATTGGGGAACAAGCTAATGATAAAAGATTGGCATTCAACTGGGGCTGCAAAAATGTGGTCTTTAATTGGAGAGAGACTTGTACAGGATATCTAATTATACAATCGTCAAGATTTAATTATTCAGAAAGCATAGTAAAGCACCAGTTTCAGCCAAATAGAAAACTATAGACAAAATTAACTATATTAACTATGGTGTTATACATAAGCCACAATATCAGAAAGGAATATTAATGTTGAAATTATATAGCGCAAAATACAGTTAGTAGTTTTGACGGGCAAAACAAAACCAGTTTAAAACACAGTGCCTGCTGGTATCTAAGCTAAACGACAAACAAAATCGAAAAACTATTAAAGAAAATCATTATTGTCAATAATAATTTTTTTTAGCACTCAAATGCTTCCTCACACTTAGTGTTTTCAGTGTTAAGTTATTGGAACAATGGTTATGAAATGTATTCTCTGCCCCTAATCAGGGCCAGATTAACATAAAGGCTTTTGTGGTGCCAACAGGCCCCAATGGGAAAAATAGGCCCCCAAACCCCAGGAAAAATCAAGAAAATCTGGTTTTATGTTTTAGCCACAGAGTATCTAGGCCCACTTGCAATTAGAGCTCCAGGCCCCCTACAGCCCTTTAATCTGGCTTTGCCCCTAATGGGGGATATATAGTCTGTAATGTTGCAGCAAATAGAGTACTGTACAGCATTGAATTTTGGACTGAAACAGGCTGGAGTGAAGGGGGGGGGGGGAGTGGAGGTGGTGTATAGTGAGAGTAAGCCCCTGTCGATGCTAAATTGAAACCAGATGGATCTTGCTCATCAAATGCAGATGGTTTTTGTTAATTACAAGTACTGCCACATTTATGAAAGTGAAATATTAAATGACTAATTTTTTCAATGTTTTTTATTGAATTGGTAAATTGCTGCAGACAATGATTTGGTTCGCTTTTTGAGTTCACTGCACTTGCACAGATAATACTCTCAGTGGAATTCTTCTGTAAAATGGAATGCCTCATAACACATGGATTTTTTCTAGGTTCATTTCTGTTCCCTCAGTATGCCAAGTATAGTGTGAATCATAGGCTTAGCCAGCGAGCCGTCCGGCCGTCTTTTGGACAGCCTACAATTATTTAGGATGGCCACTTTTACCGAGACGGCTTGGACAGCTTTGCCTAATCAGCTCGGCCTAGCCTAATTGGGCCTGTACTACCTTTAGCAAATTCATTATATTCTTAAAATCTATCAAATGTTATACTAATGCTAAATCATATTTACGTTTGATAAAAACAACATTTATTGATTGTTTGTACATTGTTTTCGTACCAATATTCGGTGAGGATTCCCAAAGATGGCCGTGGCCCGCCCATCAGGTCAGTTCCACACCCACTGGCTTCCATTTTAAACGGCCTATTTCGGTTTTTTTTGGCTAAACCGCTGGTGTGAATGGAGATTTGTCGGGGAGTTGGTAATTGGTCCTACTGTACATTTCGACCGATGACCAATGACTGAGAGCACCTTGTCCGACCTAATTACACCTAATTTTCATTGATCGAGTTCCTAGTCCACATGTCAAGTGCCCTGAGCATCTTACATTAGATAGATATGTGCATTATATAAAACTACACTATTATTATTATTATTATTATTATTATTATTAATTTCTAAACTATGCTCATGCTCCTATCACAAGCCTATTTTTAGGAATCCCTATTGCAGTTCATTTTTTTTTTACACAGTATGTTGTTCTTGGTATAGTTTGTATTTTATGAGAAAATTTGTTGAAAGAGTACATTAGAGACTCCTGAAATGCAGGTGACACAGCAGACGATAATATTTTAACAAAACAATAGGGGTTCGAGTCTCGAGGCAAGATAATTGTTCATCTTCTTAGGCAAGGAACTTCAGTCATATTGTGTCTCTCTAACCAAGGAATGCAAGCAGCCGTACTGCTAGGTTTAAATGCCAATGCTCTGACTGCTAACTGAGAATTATGTAACATTCGCCCCTAGGGAGTCGAGTATACACTTCGTAGGTACGCATGATCCAATAACTAAGGTAATAATAATTCAAGCGCACAGGCATTATTCATTATTAATTCCTTAACACATAGGTATAAATCATTTAACCTGTAATAAAGACCTACATTATCTGTAATCAAATGATATAAAGAATGAAGGTATCTTCTCTTTACTGTTTATACACAAAGGAATGGCCATCAATATGAATTCTTAAAGTATAAATATTGCTAGAATATATTTTTTAAGTTATTAAATTCAAATTTCATTTTAAAAATGGATATATAAATTTGACCTTCAAATCAAAAAACAAATAATTTGGCCCATGCACTGTCAATAATAATGGTTATATTTTTTATAAACTACAGTATATGATAATGTAATTAACTAACTTTGGAATGACTTGTAAAACATGTACAGTATCAGAACACCTGCAGCACTACAACTGTTAGAAGAACTAATGATATTGGACGTTTTTTTATACGGATTAGAATGGACCTGTTATGTGCAGTTTGTCAGCTTTGTGCAAACTGACGTAAACATGTTTGATAACTCAGCTCAAAGTAATTTGCAGCGATAGGTGATAAAATGTGTTACTTATTATTATAATTATTATTGAAATTGACCATTCTCGACAGAAAGCATATGGTCGTCATTGACAACATATGGTTGTATTGGGTTGACAAACTTGAGTGTAGTTATATTCAGCAACACTACTGTAGATGCAATACGTACATTTATTTTTTATTTAGAGGTATTAAAAAGTATTACATGTATTCAATTAATGCTAGACTACAGTTACTGTACTAATATTTTTTTTAAAAGATGTTTACGGTGAACTTTTTAAATAAGCAGTAGGTAAAGGATAAGCTAGGCCGAGATTGTTGAAACTACGCTGAAGTCCCAATAGGCAGTTTCAAAACAAAATTTCCCTTGAGCAGATTTGACAAACCGCACATAATTGACCTATGTGTCTTTTTTAAAAAATATAATAGCACTTTTCCAAAATTCTCACAGCACAACACATTATTACCCTGGTAATTTTCCAATGGCCAGAGGCAATAATTCTACACAACGTACAAACTCGTCTACTTGTCAATCTATTTCATTTTTAATACCATCATCATCATCCTCATTATCACCATTATCATCTTCCTTCCTCCACTAATTTTGAGTTACTTGATCCATTTTCCATTTCATTTAAATCACTGTTTGAATTATCAACATCCTGTTCATTGCTAGTACCTCCACAGTTTGTGGAAGATAACAATGTCTCATCTGGTCTATTCATTTTCACTTCATCAATAGTTTTCTCTGTAACATCTTCCACGCCATTCGCGTCAACATCAAGTTCCTTTAAATCTTTGTGAAGTGATGAATTTGATTCACCATTTATGACATCTTTCTCTTTCTGCAATTTACTTGCCCATGCTTCTACGTTACGGTTTTCTTGCCAGTCATCGCATTGTTTGTGAGACAATTGTTGTTCCTCTAATAAAACCTGCGGATGCCTTCTATTACTTATCATTTCTTTAGTAGTATTTTTGGTTCTATGATCAAGATACTGTTTGTTTTCATTACCATTACATTTTTCAGACAATGTTACTTTTTCATCTTCTCCATCTCGGTCCACTCTGTCAACAATTTTCTCTCCAACATCTTCAACATCAAGTATCTTCTCATCACCACAGAGTGATGAGTTTGTTTCATCATTTTGAATATCTAATTTATTCTGCAAGTCAAGTGCACATGTTTTTATGTGATTGTTTTCTTGCAAGTCACCAGATTGTTCGTGACAGAACCGTTGTTCCTGAATCACTGCCAACGGATGCCTTTGATTACTCGTCGTTTCTTTCAAATTTTTGGTTTCATCATCATTCATTTCTATTCCATCTTCACTCAAGAAGTCCACATAGTACCTCTGTAAACCATGGCGCTGCACAGGGTTCTGAAAAAGCAAGCAGAAAAATAAAGTACACGCGCATAACAACATGTACTACGCCAGGAAACACAGAATAGTTTGCCATCATATGTTATCCAATGACCAGCAATCATGCACCTTTGATTATTCTTTGAGATTGGCATAACATAAATTCTTCAGATTTAAGAATCAATTAGATCCATAATTTTCAAAAAAGAATGGGCGATATAAGGGGCACAGATACCAATTTTCAGCACTCAAAACTAAAGGAGGGGCAGAGGTTTCCCTACGCAATCAGATCATCCAATAGATTCTTTACAAATGCTGCCTTATGAAATTTTAATAATTTATTTCTAATGCACAGATTTAATATTTAATAAATATTCAAGTGCGCATAAACTTTATTACCCATAGTCATTTGGGACACATAAACTACAGCTATGTATATGGAATAGTTGGCTAATAGTTGTAGCTACTGTATATTATGTGCAGTACTCTGGTATGTACAACCCAACCAGGTAACTATTTAACTCGGTAGAGAATCAATGCAGATAAAATGTATGTTTATATATTATAGTGCATATTTCAACTAAGTTTCGCAACATCTGCCAAGCTTCTATCGATCAAGCATATGCCTGCTGGCTGAAACCACGATGCATACAGTACAACGATAGTCAAAGTAGAGCAGGTTACGCAAACATGCAAGTATTAAGTAGTATTTGATTTACCTTTCCAGTTATACGAACCAGCCTTTGTTGCAGGAGAAAAAATTGAGTCTGTAATTTCTCGTAGCTAGTAAAAAAAAAAGGAAAAACACTTAAATGTTGACAACATCATAAGCTTCAAGGAATATGCACTTAACTGTTTATCATTACATATAGCCAATCAATAATTATCAATGTGATTAAACTAATTATTACTTAAATTATTGTCCAATTTTAGTATCATTCCAATTACACAATTTGAATACTTGGAAAAAAATTTTGATTTCTAGTCTAAACATTTCGAAAAACAGAGGAGGTCCTTTAAAGTTTTGCAACCATGTTCATCACATCAAAGCTTTACCTGACTATGTATTAAAATCTTAAGTACTGTACATGGGCCAATGTTGATGATTATACTGGTAACGCTATTCAAGGGAAATGCACAAATTAATAATAATAATAACAATAATAATAATAATAATAATAAAAATATTAATTTTATTTAGCCCTTCATGCCAACATGGCCTCTAGGCTCTTCAAATTCATAGCATACTGTAGATTTATCTTTTGGGTTGACATAATTGTCTCACTATAGCTTTTGATGAAAAATTGACCAATCACAGGTAGGGATACAATTTTAAAGCATGGAAATTTCCACTGGCTATTCTGGTCAACACGCGCGAGTGAGGACACTAAACATGTCCATGCCAGGCATGAGACTCACACCAGTTGTGAGTTATGCCCGACCTGAATCTTCAGTCTGTCCATAGCCTCTCAGGCATAGCCTAAAATAGGAACAAATAATTCTCAGGATTCAGAAGAGATGCTATTAGAACAGGGCAGAGTAAAATTTTGCTTTTGTTAACTGCATCACCATTATGGACTGGTAAAATGTTTTTTTGTTTTTTTTCTTTATGTTGAATAACAATGAATTAATAAAAACTCAAAAGTGATGAATACAGCAGGTTGTTATTCCATTGTTATTTTCTTTCATTCTCATTTTAGTGAAGAAAAAAAACACTGCTAAAAACCACTCTAATAAGTGCCAATCACTAAATGCCTATGGCATTATAATAATAATAATAATAATATTTATTCGGCATAAAAGAACAATTTAGCCAGGATGCGAGAATAGGCGAAAGCCTAAACAATCAATGTACTCGCTCCATAGAACACAAAATAAAAATAACAAATTTAAACTTAGATACTAAAAATTTAAATTGAAATTAGTTAATTAATACATTGAAAGAAAATGTTTTGTAAGAGCAGACTTAAATAATGAAATTGATTGATAATTTTGAATTTCTATTGATAATTGTTCCCATAGTCGTGGGAATATATCATTACAGTAATTAAATACTTGGGAATTTTGGATGGGCTAATTTGAGAATGCCTTGAGCTTAAACAATTTGTAAACAAATATTCTATATTGATATCTTGATGAAATTAGTTTTGTGTAGTAGTCTGCTTCAAATGCATTTTCTCTCAAAAGCACTGTCTGATTTTGTTGTGTCAGTGATCAATGGCGTTCCAGGAATTCAAAAGAGAGGGGGCCCAGGGATGGATTTTCATAGTTAGGGGGTCAATACCACCTTAACCCCACCACAGTTGAGGCTGAGGTAAGAAAATTTATCATTATGGCACCTGCAGATGGCCGGAAATGGCACTCTCAGACTTAAATTTGAATATAATTGTCTTTATGTCTCTTAAAATACTTTAAAAAAATTTAGGGTGAGGGGAGGAATCCGCCACTGGTGATGATACAGTAGCTAGTATTATCGCTTTTACACCATATAAAATAAAATTTCTAATAGAAGTCACAAAAGGCAACCTTGAAACCTTAGATTTATTCTATATTTGCGGAAATCTGCAAACCTGTGCGAAGTGCACCCATCACACAGCTTGTCGCACATTTCTGTCGATGAACTGCAACACAATCATGACCAAACGTTGCTAGTAATTACAAAGAGATATTCTCGAATAGGAATTTCTATTTATTGGATACATTGTTATCGGTCATTTGGTATGTAATAGTGCATTTGATGCACGCATGATCACTTCGCCACAATTATAGTATGTAATATTGTTTCTACTGCATACTATAAGAAAATCTATTGATTTTTGTTGCAAAAATGAATTTAATTTCGGTAAAATAAAAACAGCCGATACAAATTAATGTATTTTTTTCGCATTACAACAAACATCATTATATTTTTATGGGTGAAACTTGCCAATAAATGGACTTGAGTAGTAGAGATCAAATTACAATTTGTCCCTCAGGAAATTATTATTGAACTTGAGAACAAATCCTGACCATGAACTCAACAAATATTGCAGGTGCCTACAAATAACCATCAAGCCAGGTTTAGTTACAATGTCAGATAATTTGAATGTGTATAATGAAAGTGTGTGCGAAGCCCTAAGCAGGAAAGGGTATAGGAATTTTTTAAATAAAAATAAGACACTAGAACAGGGATGGGCACAAAAATGGGTCAGAGGCAGAAGTCCAAGTCTCCCGTAGCTCGCGGGGTTCTCCCGGAAATCGGTTTAGTGTTAGATGTTTTAAGAAAGCTCAATTAAACAGATCTCCCGGAAATGACTTCTTCCAACTTAGGACCCCTGCAGAGGGCCAAATTGAACTTTTTATTTGATACAGAGAGCGCAAGCAAACTTATTGTGCCCATTTGACATTGACAGGTTTCTTGTAAAAACCTTCATACAATGCTTTTATATCACTTTTTGCTGTTTAACAATAGCTTGTGGAGATGATGCTATACATAATTCATTAGCAAATGCGATGCAAGACCAGAAACAGAAAACTTCCAGTGTTTGTAATAGATGTTAATAGGAGGGCTGCAAAATAGAGGTTTTAAGTTATGTTTGCCTGGACATAACAAAGCTTTGGCTGCTGTGTGCCAGGTGCTCATGCAGGGCATCTTGACCTAAGAAGGTCAGTGCTCCCATTTTGTGTATTATCCACAATAGTTTTTTTTTTTTAACTAATTCTAGATGGTTTTTTAATGAATGTGGGATAAATTCATGGTCATGTAGATTTTGTTATACCATTAACTCTCAGATGCAGGAGCATCCCATGTAAATGCAAGGTTGTTGATAACTATGCCATAAGCACCTTGAGCATTTCTTTGAACTAGACATCAGGCCTACTGTATATAAATTGTATTTATTATTACTGTAATTAATCGAATAAATGCTCCGCTTTAAATAAATGCTCCCTCTAGACCTTCATTTGGAAAACGCCTCCCTCATATAAACACTGCCCTAAATGACTGTAAACAAATCTAATGAGAGCAACATCATTCTCAACACATTCTATTAATGTTTTACTGCAGTAGACGTACATCTTATCTTCTTTAGCCCGGTTGGAATCAATAAGTCTTTATGGTCACGCGATAACACATCTTGACATTAATAAAGTGTTGTAGTTTCACAATTATAGTAAAATTAAAGGGTATTTATTTGGGTATATACGTATCCATTTTACACAAAAAAATTTAACGCTTCCCTCAAATAAATGCCCCCCTCAAATCCCTTCTCTACATAAATATGGTAATTAATATAATTTCGAGGATTTCGAGGAGGTGTTCAGTTCAATGAACTATAGAGCCTTATGCAGTTATAAACATCATTAGTAAGTAATAGTGTGGAAGACTGACACGATAATGACCCAACTCCATGGCAACCATGGACAGCACCAACGGCTAATACAGGCGAACCAAGACAAATCACTCACGCCAATTACATTACAACTCGTCCGAAACTGACAGCAGTGAGAAATATAGCGTTAAAACCCATCTGACCTTTGTAATCTGTACCATTAATTTAAGAAAACAACTCTGTTTGTCACGACTGTCGTTTGTCCCGAGATGATCGTTTTTTTAATATACCACTCTAAATGGACACCATCGAGAACAACTGATGCCGGGCTAAATAGCTGCAAGCAATTTACTTCAATTATCTTCTGTTATTGTCAATTATAATTAGTTTGTTTTTTCTCGTTAAGCTTTTCTGTCATTTGCATGTTAATCTTTGAGCTTAAATTATATCTTTAAATTAACATCTCCTTTGTGGTGTTCATCGACAAGTACAGTATATACAAGACTGAGAAATGTCCAACCCGTGCTAGATACATTAATGCAGCCTTGATTTTTATCTCATGCAACAACCATAGTAGATTTGAACTTTCCTCTTTCAGGAAAGTTATCAAGCTTTTTTATGTGACATAAGACTGAATTCCCCATTAGGTGTGACATGACATTACTGTACCCATATATTGGTATGATATGACATCAGCTAATGAATATATATTGGTATCACCTGAATTTGTCACATGAAATATCAATTACACAAAAACTGTTATGAGATTTGGGTAGTTGCTCCTGGATATTAAGCAAAATACTTTGGAGGAGCGTTTTCACTGTAGAAGCAGTAGAGTATCTAGGGGAGGGCGCAGAGGGTGCACCCCCAAAAAATTACTCAAGCAGTTAAAAATCACCTAAAATCACCATATTTTGCAAATTAGCGTCCCTCAACAAATCATCGAGCTCACCCTCCTCCTTTGCGCCCCACATCAGCCTCCCCCCCCCCCATTTCAAGACTTCTAGATACGCCAATGTAGAAGCGGATTGGCTGTAGGAGTGATTGTGCTTCTACTTCTCTGCCTTGAGGTCAAAAGTTCAAATGCTGTGCATTTCCCTTTACCCCTACTGTTGTCTCTCCACCCAGGAGTACACAAGGGTACTTGGTAGGTTCAAACACAAAGCTGCACTTACATTACAGCTGCAACGTTAAGGAATTCTTCCCAGGGATCCGAGTATGTTCCATGTGCTTGATCCAATGACCAAGGGTAATATTAATGTGAAGCGCTTAGGGGCCTTGTTGGCATGGCGATACAAGTCTAACATATTATTATTTATACGTCACACTGCATTCATTTGTACATAACAGGAATTAGATTCTATATTTTCCTATGGCAATTTGCAGTATATAACTTCCAATGCCACAGGTCTTAAAGAAGACCGATATTTCGGACATCCAAAACAGCTTCAATCATTATAACCATGTAGATGGTGGTAATATTGTAGGCTGTGAAAGAGAATGCTAACTTGATACATTGATGTATCATATATTGCTTGGACAATAAAGTATCTTGTATCTGAGAGTATTTTGCCAAATCTATGTATTTCTTTAAAGTAATAGTTGAACAAGATATGTAAAAGCCAATCTACAGAAATTCAAAGAATGAATGTATTTTGAGCATTATGTTAAAATATTGGTGATAAAATCTAGAGAAAAAAAACTAAAAATTCAATGAAAACATTGCTCAAAATGGATAAAATAATTTTAATGGCCATTGAGGGCAGATAAAGAGAATGCGAACCGTTACAAGTACTTGTGGGAATAACAATTCTATTAGGAGACATCTTAGAATTTCTATTCTATTCATTTATTTTTTTTCATAATTTCAAGCAAGTAGCAATGTAATTTCTAATATCTTGTGGATAATTATATCTGTATCTGAGACAAAACAATTAATTTTTTTTCTTTTTTGTTTGTTTACAAAATTTTGCTATGAAAATACTTAAATTACCTGCCCACTAATATATCATTTAATATTTATAGATCTTTAAATTGGTGAGAACATTTGTTTTTCACTTCATTTTAATTGAAAGTAAATAACTACCAAAAAAGCTATTCAAATATTAAATTTTATTGTTCAATTTTTATTAACTTAACACAGCCCAAATATAATTGCAAAAAATTCTTGTTTTCATTTAGTTTAATAATTCCAAATCCCCATGAGAATTTTTGTGTATATTCTATTCCTTCTAGATCCAATATGATTCTTTTTAGTTCTGCCATATGCCTAGCAAATTAAGAATATCATTTTTTTAAAGCTAAGGGCAAAGATCTTACTCTGAGACGTGATATTGGTGACAGGGAAAAAACATTTGTAAAAAATTTGCCACAACATTTGTGAAAGACTTCTACTGTGGCTGATGTAATAGGAGCTATATGTTACCCTATAGTAAGATTTCCTAAACTGCATTTCCGTTACGCACTTAATATTACCCAAGAAATTATCAGAAAGCAACTTTTTTTCTCTAGAAAACGTTGCCCAGTGCTTCCATTAACATCCCACAACAATCATATATATTGAATCGGCAAAACCTCAAATTGCGGGATAATTTAACCCTGGACTAAAATGCTATAGTAACATGACCTTAGTAGCTCAATTTTGAATGAATTTTGAAAGAAAGCATTGCATTCCAGTTTCCCTATTAATCACCATACTAGGAGATATATTTGTAATTTTTCGTAGTTTTAAGTAATTAATTTATCTATTAGCATATTTTTGAGATTTCACTATTATTTTAACAACACTGTCTATTAATAAACTAATAGTACATTTACTAATATCTACCTAATACCTAATTTAAGTCAATATTTAGCACCTATCCTACATAACCATATATTTTTTAACCTACTTCAAACCTTTCTATAATTTGTCCCCATTGAAATTGGCAATCGTAAACTTGGGCTTAAATACACGCCAAGACTCACGTATTTGGTGTGAGACTCGCACATTCGAGGTCTGTCTCACAAAAGTCTCACGCCTGCAAATTAGTCTAACTTGGCATGTATCGGCCTGGCCTCTAGGGACCCCCGCGGCAGCTGCATTGCAGTGCCATCCAACTTAATTACAGCATGTAATAAACAGATATACATATTATACAAACATAGTCCTCATCACGCCTAACTCTTAGTATGAGAATTATTCAAAGAGCCGAGCAATCAGACAATTAAAACCTGATGCTGACCACGTTAAACCAGGCTATACAGCACAAGAAGCCGGAAAAATACCTCTCGGTCAACCGCTCAGCCTTCTTTTAAGCCTATTAAGCACCTAAATGCAATTTGCATGTATAAACTATTAAGAAAACTACTTATGACCTATCAGCAAGAGATAATCACTACTAAGGGACTATATAAAGGAAGAAAATCCTCAGTAAACACAAATCAAATATCTACTAATAGCCAATGTGTCTACATAAATAGCTAAAACAACTATATAAACGACTAACAAATTTTGCTATGGGCAACATGGAGAAATGTACATTTACCAAGATTGGCTAGAACAACACACTTCATATATAATGTGCATTTTTTAATGTCACTGTGTATTTTGTTTTAAAAGACAATCCTAATACAATACAAACAATTCAGTGATATAATAATGTATTACTAACCATAAAATAATATTTATTTAAGAAGCCTAGAAATTTATATATTTTTAATTAATTTATATTTTGGTTACCTTGCATTTTTTAAAGCAGACACCCATCGTTGACACTCGGCATTGGAGCTAGTTAGGAAAATATACTTTCGCTCACGGTCATTCTGAAAGGCTAGATGAAGAATAAATCTTGCGCTCAATTAATCACGTCTTGAGCCAAATTAAATCACACATTACGATTCATTTTAATCAACCCTGAGATTCATTAATTTAAATAAATGCATTTGTCAAAGTTGGAAAAGAAGATGGATTTAATTTCCTTTCCAATATATTGTGACAAAAAAATTGAAATTTATATTCTCAGTTGGTAAAATATAAAAAAAAATCAACAAGAAAATGTTGCCAACTACTTACCAATAGAAAAGGCATAGGCATTTGGTTTCATCTCCATTAGTATACGAAAGCGCTCCATCAAAAACGCCCCAAGAAGCTGAAAAATAAGATATTTAATATGAAAGTACATCACATGAAAGCAAAAGTGACAGCAACAAAAAAAGAGTAATATTCGGGGCAATCAAGACCTTAATACTTTGTAGTGCAGGACATAAAGCAATATTTTTTACACTGTCAGAAGCCCACCACCCAGTGGCATATCTATGAGGCTTTAAAAAAGGGGGAGGAGTGCTGGTAAAGTGGGAGGGAGGCCCCGAAGGTAAAGTGAGGGTCTTTATGTTTAAGCAAGGGGTACTTGCTCGCAAAATAAATTTATATGAGGTTCTTTTAACTACTTGAGCGCAAATTTTTTTATTGGGCGCAAGCTTTTTTTTGGAGAGGGTGAGACTTGCGCCGCCCCCCCCCCCCCCCCCCCCCCAATGTAGCCCCTAGATACTCCACTGCCACCACCCACTGATAATAATTCTGGTAAAATGAAATATTATTTTTCACATTGCATCCTCCATTGTGAAAAAACTTAAACCTTGGGAACATTTTAATACTTTAATACATTATTATCCTGCTCGCTTCACTATAAAATCTCCCCCAAAAAAAATAATCATATTTCTTCTTTAATATTACATAAATCTCACTTGCCATTCTTTACAGCCATTGCAATATAGAATCTTGGGGGAAGCCTTAAACTCACCCTTGCATTTTTTTATTTATCAATAACATTTTTATATTTATTTTCACCTGTTTGTACTGTATATGTTTTTGGCAGAATCCTTTATGCTAAAGGAGAAAACAAAGATGTTCAAAATTAGGTTAATTAAAACGCACATTGTTTTTATATTTAGGTGTAAAATCAATTTAAGATAAATCCAACAAAAATTTTAGGGGGAAATTGTTATGATAACTACATGTAGTGTTACGAGAAAATGTTATGAATAAAGTAAATATGAAAAATAAACTGCCTTTGAATATAACACCATAATGAAATGTCTAATATTACACTCCTAAGGGTGGCTGGGGTATCGCTTGCAGGATCTATAATATTGCATATTAAACAGCTGTTGTTTTATATCCCTTCCCTGTTTACACATAATCCATTAATGTGTTGTTGAAAAAGTACAACCTCTCGAATTTCAGTTTAATATGTTAGCATGGAATGTCTGTGTATTAACAATATTTTAAAAATTGTTTTCAATAAAGAAAAAATTATAGAATATAATATAATATATAGAATTTAAGTGTCTGTCCAAGGAGGATACAGAAATTAAATACAATCACTGCATGACACACAACATCTCCTGCAATCCCCGCCCACGCCCATCCCCCACTACCTGCAGTTGGTTCACCGCGCCAAACATTTCTTCTCCTTACTCTCCTTTCATTGTTTCTTGGTTTTGACTCATTAATTGGTAGTTAATTCAGTTTAGTTTTAAAAGTGTATGAAAATAGCAGTACACTATTAAGGTCTACAACATTTAGGCTCTTCATAAATCAAAGATATGTCTGTTTGATAAATTGTAGTTAAAAGATTGGACTAAAAGAGAAAACATCCATTCACATTATTATTATTTATAACTTTAAAATAATAACTTGGTTTTGTTTTTGTTTTTTTTTGGGGGGTTTTTTTTAATAGCTTTTTTATTTAAAGTTTTGCAATATGCTAGTGTACTTTAGTTTTTAACCTCCATCTGTTTACCTTAGATTCTGTGTACATAATTTTAACTTTACCTTGCATTTTTAGTCTAATCCTTGTAAGTTATTAAGTTTATTCAATTCAATTCAATTCAAATAAACATTTATTTTCTTAATAAATAATACAGTTACAATAGAAACAATTCAATGGCTGATAACAACTGGAACCAAATTTTGTATCTTCTTAATCATTACAGCAATAAAGTTATCTTAATATGTGGCAAGGACAAGCCAAACTAGTCACTCGTCGCAAAAATCGATTTTGAGTTATTAATACAGTGTTAGAGAGTAAAATAATAGCTATAAAATGGTAAAAATATCATTCAAATCGGACATTTCTTTATGAAGTTACAAGCGTTTAACCACACAGCTGTTTAAAGAACAATATATGAGAAAATTAACCGTCAAAGTTTATGATTTCAGGCATTTCTCATGCAGAAACTATCTTTAAATCCTTAAAAAATATTGTTTTAACATTGAAAATGTTGAAAATAACAGCATAGAATGATGTGTAGATATATAAAGGTTAGTTTAGTGCAATAAAATAGATTTTTAAAAATTTGACATTTCAGCATGGTTTGGCCATTTTCTCTGAAACACGATTTGCGACTAGTGACTGGTTTGGCTTGTCTTTGCCACGTGTTATTTATAGTATATTGTCATCAAGTAAACACAAACAAATGTAGGCCTAAAGGTATACAAGTAAAACCTACAGTACACAAACAAAATACCTCATAATCAGTTAAATTTCTATGTTAAGCTGTGTCCAGACAATCAAATTTTCTTTAAAAAAACTGTTAATATTCCCATATATAGTCATGATGTGCCCATATATAGTCATGATGTGCCCATATATAGTCATGATGTGCCTATGTTCATGATGTGAGGTACCACAATCATAAGTTTTCTTACCTCGGCCCCAACCATGATGGGGCTGAGGTAGTATAGACGCTCCATCTGTGAAAGTCCCTGTGTGAGCCTCCCATAGAGATATAATAAGAATACTAGAGCGCTAACCCCAATGTATTTGATGTTCGAAATACGCAGAACTGTGTGTGTATACCATCCAAGATGGCTGCCATAGGTTTAGCCAATCAAATTTTGCTAAGCACCATCGTTTGCAATTGCGCCCTCAATTTACTCAGAAAGTTCAGTACAGTTAGTTACCCGTATGTTGAAACTCGAGCGTTGCGATGCTTGGGTGTAATGTACACGATTTTAATTTTCATTCCTTGGTACTTTATTTTTGAATAAGATGCTCCTTGCATCATTAATGAAATAATAGTCAGTCAGAGGGCTTATTGATGTAATAATATGTATACTAAGCCTGAAGGTGGCGCTTTACTACGACGGCCATCTTGGATGGTACACATACATAACTCTGCATTGCTGCGCCATCTTGTCAGCACTCTAGTTGTTTAATAGCTCTATGGAGCCCCCTCTATTTCAAATTCCTGGATCTGCCACTGATCATCACCATATTTAGGCATGTCACATGTGTTTTTATCAAACATAATTTGATAGTCTGGACAAAACTGAAGTACTGTATAAACTATAATTGCCACAGTGTTAGTGAGTTCACACAGACAGCTCCAACATTCCAATGAAACACCTCTGGGTACAAGTAATTTATAATGTCACAACAAAGCAATAATGACACTCGCAAATTGAATGTAAGTTCAACAGAAGTGACACTCAGCTTTGTTACAAATCCTCTGTAAAACATGGTTTAAATACATAAAATACGACACTGTTTATAGTAACTTGTAGAAAGTATGCAAGCAGATTTTCTCTTCTATATTTCATTTATTTCACACTTGTTCATCTTCAGAAATGAACAATATTACTGTATACATTTATATAAACGCACCGCTTTAAATAAACACCCTATCCCTCAACGCCTCCCCACCCCCAAGAAAATTCCCACTATAGAGCCTCAATTAGGATAAACGCACCAGGATATTTATTTCTTCCTCAAATAAATAACCAACTAAAAGACCGTAAAAATTAAACTAATGAAAGCAACACAATGTTCATTCTATTAATGTTCTACACCAATAGAATTACATTTTTTCTAATCTGGTTAGGATCAATAAGTCTTTATGATCATGCAATAACACATTTTGATGGTAATTACATGTAGTTTCACATTTACGGTGAAAATAAGGGGGTGCCTATTTGAGTATACCATTTCACACAAAACAAAATAAACACCTCCCTCAAATGCATGCCCCTTCCAAAATACTTCTCAACAATAAAAGCTCCGACATCTAAAAACATCATGATACCGTATTTGCATAAATACGGTATCATGGTTGTACAATGTAAACTCAGCAGCGTACGTGACCAGTGAATTTATATTTAATAACTATGATGTTTATACCCGAGTAATAAAAAAACAATATATTGCACTTTCATCTCAAAATAGCAAATTCACATACACAGCTTTCTATGACACACCATGGGTAAATTATACACAACAAAGCAATACTAAAACAGTACACAAATTGAACATACGTTGAACAAAAGTGTTAGACTTAGCTTGATGAAACTCAGAATTTTTTTTTGTACAATATGTCACTTTGAATTACTTCTTCAACATCCGACAGCAAGACCAGGTGTTCTCTGCCATACTGTATAGATGCAACGAAGATCAACGAATTTCTATTAAAAATTGTTTAATTAACTTTATATACAGTAAGCCCTACTCAGATGGTTACCATTATCTTTCGATCCAATAACATGTTACGTGTGCTCAGGAAATATGCTATTCAAAGTTTAAATGTGATTTACTGTATTGAAAAAAGGAAAATAAGTATCGCACTTTGAATTACTTCTTCAACATCCAACAGCAAGACCAGGTGTTCTCTGCCATACTGTATAGTTGCAACGAAGATCAACTAATTTCTATTAAAAATTGTTTAATTAACTTTATATAAGCCCTACTCAGATGGTTACCATTATCTTTCGATCCAATAACATGTTACATGTGCTCAGGAAATATGCAATTCAAAGTTTAAATGTGATTTGCTGTATTGAAAAATGGAAAATAAAGTGGTTTAAAGGGATGTTGGTGGCATTTTCAGTCAAGATAAATAATCCTAAAAAGTGTAAAGATCCTAGGATCCATGGATGGAATTAGGTAGATGTGGTTTGGGCAGTGAGAACAGTTTGGTTTCCCAACCTTGAGGCACGTGTTCTACAGCAAGGCATATTATCTGCATTGATTCTCTCCACCCCAGTACAAGTGGGTACCTGGTTAAACACCACATGCGCTGATGCAGCTGCCGCAACATTATGTAATACTCCCCCAGGGAGCTTGAGTTTGCGTTCCACATGTTTAATCGGGGTAATGATAATGTGAAGGCGTTCCACGTGTTTAATCGGGGTAATGATAATGTGAAGCACATGGTCTTTCCATAATATGCTATACAAGTCTACTACTATTATCATTAGGTAAAAATCATCATCTACAACAATTACTATATTTTTAGGGCAACAGCGACCAATCTCATTCACCCCCACCCCCTAAATTTGATCTTTAAACTACTTGTTCATTATCACCATTTGTTTTATATATTTATTTGACAAAAAGGAAACTTAAACCGGTATTTTTCAATTTATTTATTATTCATTTCTTTGTTTTTTGTTTTTTTTTAACAGTGAGCACTGAGAAAGTAATTTTAAGCGGATATTGGCACACGGTGGTACTCAAAGCAATTAAACTGAATCGAATAGAATGCGTGCATGTCTAAGACATAAAAATTGTTATTACAAAAATCCAGAAACTTATTATCTGTACATTCCATAACTTCTACAGTTATGCTAGTAGCATTGTTTATGGATGCAGGCATATATATATTACAAATGCACCATTATTATTATTATAAATTATGTATACTGCTGCTGCCGAAATTTCTAAATAAAATGAAAAGAGCCAAGCATTGAATAAATATTCAGCAGGCTTTAATCCAGACATGTCTCAGAATTCTATTTCATGACCATCAGTCAGGTGGATTCACATTGGGGGGGGGGGGACTTGGCCTGGGGCCCTATATTTTTGAAAATAAAAAAAATAGAGAAAAATGAAAATTAAATTCAAATGTTTATTCTGAGAGTGCCATTTCCAGCCATCCAGAAGTGTCATTCATAGGCATATGTCAGCTCCAACCATGCATGGTGGGGCTGAGTTGGTCTGGAGCCTCCATTTGTATAATCGACTTTCTTGGCTCCCACTATTTCAAATTCCTGGATCCGCCACTGTTGGTGTTGCTAGCTTTTACACCTTTGATCGGATTAATATGTAAATGCGTTTAATTTATTTAACATTAAATGCCTGTGGCGTTTGAGACTGACATAGTGAAGTTAGATTGTAATAATTTTATTATAATTACTGTATACTTACTTCTCTAACTTTTCCTTCATCATTTATTCTGTAATAGAACAAGAAATTTCCCTTCAACTTGAACCATCTTGACTTGTAACCTTAGAATGTGAAAAGAAACAAATCATAGTAACATTACTTAAATCTTTTAATTAATGGAATAATTATAGAAAATGAATTAGTTTATTGTTTGATTATCTCCTCTGGTTTTTTGGGTTTTTTTGTTTTATAGATTTTAGTACAGTAAATTTTGGACTAATATGACTTACACAAGCTTCATCATGTTATCAACATAACTTAATTAAGCTGTGCAAGCTTCAGTTGTTATGGACATTGCATAAACAACGCCCTCAGGCCATCAGGGTGTTGTTCATGCAATGTCCATATTAACCAATGCTAGCTACACACAGTCTCATGAAGTAATGATGTACCATGACGCAGGCTTACGTAAATCAAATCAACCTTTAATTGTGATTGGTTTTAAATTTTCCAAAAAAGTGCAACATATTTTGTGGTCAGTGAAAGATAGGGAGTGCAACTACCGGTTCCCAATGGCAAAGACTTTGCTGACAAGGCCTAGGTGAGGGTCTGGAAGCAGTGGCGTCGAGAGCCAGTAAGGGCCCCGGGGCAACACCTCACATGGGGTTTAAATGGCAAAGTTCCGTAATTAAATCGCTTATTGTTGGCACTGTACAAAGAAAGAGACTAATATGTGGCAAAGACAAGCCAAACCAGTCAATCGACACAAAAACTGATTTTTAGTTATTACACAGAGTTAAACATTAAAATGAGAGTTATAAAATGGTAAAAGAATCATTTACATCCGACATTTCGCTATGAAGTTACAGGAGTTTAAACATACAGCTGTTTAAAGAACAATATTTGAGAAATCAGCCATTTCAAAACCAGAAACCATCACCAAATCGTTAAAATTTGTTGTTTTAAAATTGAAAATGAGGGAAAACAACAGCATAGCATGATGTATAGATAAAGATTAGTTTGTGCAATAAAATAGATTTCACAAATTTTGACATTCCAGCATGTTTTGGCCATTATCTCTGAAACAGTATTTGCGACAAATGATTGGTTTTGGCTTGTCTTTGCCACATATTCTAACATGTGGTTTTCATTTGATATTATCTATTATAATATATTTTATATACTTCCCCCTTTTTAAATGTATTTCTATCATTTCAAGTCTTGATCAGTAATCTAGTTCTCTTAATATATAATCAAATGTCTCAAGTTGTTGGAAGGAAGCAAACTCTTCAACCAACTCTCCAGAGGTATTCTCTGTGGCTACTGCCACCACTATCCAGAAATAACTCTCTCGGTGGCAATTCATAATTTTTACTTCACCATTGTCTTGATTTTTAAGAGTTGAGAAATAGTTTGGCTCCTCACCCCATTCCATTTTGCAAGCAGTTGAAACAGCTCAAATCCTCTTTTAACAAAGTTTAAATATTTATTTAATGAAACAGATTAATAAATATAATAAATGGAAAGTTCATAAAAATCGTTGGTTCCTTAATTGATAGCTCTAAAGATATAGAAAACAGAATCATTCTTGCAAATATTACTTTTGCAAAATTTACAAATGGTCTAATTGTAGTATTATATTGGAACGTAAACTTAGTATTTATGAAGCACAGGTGGTGTGAATACTTTTATATAAATGTACAGGTAGCAGCTGGGCAGCCTCTAAAAGCATGTTCAGGAAAGTTTGATATATGTCATTGTCGACATTTAAGGTCTACTTTGAATGAATATCAAATACTCCAAAAAATTAAAAATAAATCTTTATATTCAGTTACAAAATCAGATCCATTGACAAGTCGTATTGATAAATGGAGGTGGTCAATGCTTGGGCACATTTTACGGAGTGATGAACTCACTCCTGCACATTGCGCACTTGTGCTTGCCGTCAATCAGTCAATAAACTTGAAAGGCCAAAAAGGAAGACACAGTGTCAGTTTATTCCCAAAAATTAAATCTTATATAAATGAAAGGGCTTAAATTCGAAAATATTGTTGATTTGCACTAAAAAACTTAAGAAACAGATTTAAACAAAACCCAAAAACATGGCTGTGACTTATTAGACACAAAGTTTATTTTGTGTCTGCCTAAAGTTTAATAATAATAATAATAATAACAATAATAATAATAATAACAATAATAATAATAATAATAATAATAACAACAATAACAATAATAATAATAATAATAATAATAATAATAATAATAATAAATATAAAACAAATACCGAAGAATGTGAAGCAAGCCATACGGTAGTGTTTCTGCATTTCAAATTTTATTTGTTCATCAGGAATTAAAAACATCAATAATGTAGTTATCATAATCTTATGTGACTACGTGACCAGTGGTTACAGCATTTTTACTTGAATAATAAAATAAATATGAATAAATGGAAAATCAATTTTGACCATTTTATAGCACTTTGCAGAGAACTTCTCAAAGTGTTTCACAATTGAAATCAGTAAAAATTCAACATATTAATACGCAACCGCAAATTTAATAATGTACAATCTTCTGAACCACAATGCATGTGAGATTAAAAACAAAGGCTGTGAGATGACAAATTCATTAAAGCACATAAGAAACCTTTATTCTAGAAATCATGTATAGATTCAAATTTTTAAATTATTCACGTTTGAATTTTAAAGAAAAAACAGAGTAGAGACTGCTATTTAACTTTATAGAAGCCCAAAAAATGCAAATTAAATGGGAAGTTAATCTACAGATGAATACAATAGATTGGGATGCATGTTGGAAGAATAAGGTTTTATTTTAATAATTGAATATGTGGCTTTAATTATTGATGCAATACCAAGAAATTGGAAACATATCATAGTACATCAACCTATTTGCATAATACACTCATGGAGGTATTATTGAGAAGGAGATGACTCGGCAAATCTACGCGCACGCAGCGCTATGCAAATGAACCAAGATCAAAGTTTCCGCAGAGCGTAAAGAATGTTTGCGCGATGCCTTGTGCCATGTGTTCCCCACCATCAAATTTTCAGCAGGCATAGTTGACCAAAAAATTGAACATGACGAAATGGAGAGCACCTTCTTTTCTCAATGCGCACTACATACTGTCAATCACTATGGCTGCGCAATCTTTT